TGTTGGGTAGGGGCGTTTGGGGAGAGGAGGAGAGAGTAATTTTAGCAGGGGAGTTGGAGAAGAGGGGAGTTTAGAGAGTCCAGTCTGTGTCAGGAGAAGAGGGAGAGGCAGAAACCCAGCACTCTCCTCAGGCCTCCTGGGCTGGGGAAGGGGGACAGGGGGCAGCTGACTACATGGGGTAGGTGTGGGAAAAGGGGGTGGGCATGGTAGGGGCGTTTGGGGAGAGGAGGAGAGAGTAATTTTAGCAGGGGAGTTGGAGAAGAGGGGAGTTTAGAGAGTCCAGTCTGTGTCAGGAGAAGAGGGAGAGGCAGAAACCCAGCACTCTCCTCAGGCCTCCTGGGCTGGGGAAGGGGGACAGGGGGCAGCTGACTACATGGGGTAGGTGTGGGAAAAGGGGGTGGGCATGGGTGTCCGATGGCTTACTCAGCCTTTCCAAACCACCAGCCTGGCCCCACCTATGCTCCACCTCCAGAACATCTGCTATAGGCATTCTGGGGGCAGAGTGTTGCTGCCCTCAACACCTGTCCTGTGGGCCAGGGAGGCTGGAACCACATGGCCTCCTCCCTCACCTGTTGCTCCAGGGAGGTGGGGGAGCCATGTTGCGTGCACACATTTTCTCACTTCTCTTCCCCTCCCGCACTGCTCCCCCAGCCCCCCACCCTGCAAGGGGCATGCAGTGCCTAGAGGAACCTGCCGGTTCCCTCTGGTGCCACACTCCCCTGGTGGGGGATGGAGACTTTGCGCACTCTCCTGTCCCCAGGTCTCATTGGCCTGGGGGTGGGGGAGCAGTAGGGGACCACAGGCCAGATGAACCCACTTGGCAGGTGGATCTGGCCCACAGAGGCTCTCTTGCCCACCTCTGGTTTACTAGCTTGAGTTGTTAGAAAGGACAATGATACATGTACTCCAAGGGTAGTGCTAATTTTCTTTTCCTTTGATTTCATATTAAATATCGTAAGCATTGTTCCTTATATATGCATATAGTGTTTTTTGGTACTGGTGGTGCGTATCCACACACTCCCTCAATATTGGTATTGCACATAAGAAAATTCAACCTGCCCAAGGATAGAAAATGTTCAAGGGAACACTGCCCTAGGGGCGCATTCAGTTCCACCTGGAGCTTGGCCTCACAATGGCCATTTTCACTAGCCACCTGTCATCCATTTTGGTGCCTGATGGGGATCCCCAGCATGATTGGGAAGTGTGTTTGGCCCATACACTTCCCTAGACTTAGGGGTAATGACTGACCCCCAGCATCCTCCCCACTGCTAACAAAGACAAACCCACCTCACAGCTAATGCCCTTTTGTCTACATGTACGGAAAAGAATGACAGCAGTCCACCTACCTGTATCAGTCACCGCTGCCCCCGACAGCATCTGCAATGCTAAAACCAGAGGGAGATTAACAATGGCAGGCAGTGGCTATCTGGCCTTGTTTTCTGGCTGATACTAGCCCAGGGCAGAAGTGCTGACTGCTCTGCAGGGCACTTTGTGTCACAGACTAGGCTATGGAGGTAGCGACAGTGTAAGCTGCCTGCTTCATCTATCCATCCCCATACACATCATCCATCTGTCCATCCCTCCATCCACCCATCCATCTCTCCC